GTGACTGTTTCATTTAATAAATGTTTTGTTTTGATATATAAGTTGTTCAGGTTTTATGATCTAAAAAAGTGACAATTTCTTGACGACCTAATATACAGTGTCCATAAAGTCTTTTTACAATTTAAAAAATTTATTACAAAGGCAATGGATAAGATATCTTTATCAGACTTGTTCTATTGTACTCAGTGGTTTTCAAAGTTTTTTTTTACCTCATTTAATACACCTCTATATGGGCACCATTAGTCGCACGAAGTACATCAAGACGGTACTCGATCTCTTGCCATTTTCGCTGTAGCATAGCCTCATCAATGGTTTATCAGACTTGTTCTATTGTACTCAGTGGTTTTCAAAGTTTTTTACCTCATTTAATACACTTCTATATGGGCACCATTAGTTGCACGAAGCACATCCAGACGGTACTCGATTTCTTGCCATGTTCGCTGTACCATAGCCTCATCAATGGTTGCAATCGCATCTGTTATCTTTTGCTTTAGTTCAGTAACGTCCCGTATCTTTGTTCGATACACGATATCTTTAACATAGCCCCACAGAAAGAAATCCAGAGGTGTGATATCTGGTGAACGTGGTGGCGATGAAATTGGTCCATCCCTTCCAATCCAACGGTCTGGAAATGTTTGATTGAGGAATTCACGAACATGCAGTCCCCAATGTGGTGGGGCACCATTTTGCTGGAAAATGATGGTCGGTTGAAGGTCCTGGAGTTGTGGTGCCACATATTCAGTCAAAAGGTCAAGGTAGACATTTGCAGTAATTGATCTCTCGTTGAAGAGAAATGGACCAATAATTCGGTTGCACATAATCCCACACCAGACATTCACTTTGGTTTTTGATTAAAAACTTTGAAAACCACTGAGTACAATAGAACAAGTCTGATTAAGTTATCTTATCAATTGCCTTTGTAATAATTTTTTTAAATTGTAAAAAGACTTTATAGACACCCTGTATATTATTTTAAAAACAAGTGGAGTGCGTTCTGTTCATTTATTATCGAATGTATTGCCAACAAGTCACGGATATCTTTTTTTTAATCACTGGATAGGAACATTTACACACAAGTGCCCTCGAGATGTTTTCTTAAATACATTTACATGAATGGCATATCTTATTTATTTCACAGAATATATATTTTGACACCTTTATGATAAATTGTAATAAATCTATTATCTACATTAATAATAAATGAGTATTTCATTTACAAACTTTCCATAAATTGCATTGACAAATTTAGTCATTGGTGAGCAAAAGTTGAAATAATTGGCAGAGCCCTTAATAAACCTGCTGTTAATAAATAATTGGCAGATGTATTAAAATGTTGATTTCTTCCAACAATTTTAAAACTATCTCGAAAGACAAGAAGCTAATATAACCATGCAAATATAATAGCCTACAACAGTCAAATTAAGTATTGATTGAAAGTGAGCTGATATGGGTAGAGAAAATTAAGGTGAGCCATTTAACTGATTAGAAAGACTAATTTTTTCCAAGTGCTTTCAAACCTCTCTTAAACTAAAATAACTTTTGAACTGAGTATACATAGCTTTAGAAAAACTAACAGT